CAGTAACACTACACTTACTTACGCTCAAGGTGGTTTTTCTCCTAGCCCTCACTTCAGCTCGCAGAGTGAGTGAGATAGCAGCTTTTATGGCTTCACCGCCCTATACAGTCTTTTCGAAATAATCAGTAACGTTGAGGACCCATCCAGCGTTTATTCTGAAGGTGTCTTCTGAATTCCACATAAACTAACCGGTGGTCTTACCATGCTTCTTCCCAAAACCCCGTACCTCAACGCAAGCAGCACACTTACATACGTTGGATGTGAGAAGAGCGTTGGCGTTTTACATCGACAGAACACGGGGTTTTAGGAAAACAGACCGTTTGTTGGTGTCAGTAGCGAGTCACTCAAAAGGACAGCCTTTAACTTCTCAGTGTATTTCTAAGCTCATAGTTTTATGTATATCCATGTGTCATTCGCTGCGAGGGAAGCCTCTCCCCTCTCGCCCTAAAGCTCATTCAACTAGGGCAGTTGCTGCTACTACGGCCTTTCTCAGTGGAGTGTCCTTTCGTGACATTTGCAGAGCGGCAACATGGTCTTCCTATGCGACTTTTATGAAACACTTGCTATAGTCGAACAGTGTACTTCAGATTTTTCTGTGGCTACAGCAGTACTGAATCGTGCTGATAGTCTTGATTCCGGAGCGCTTTAATTCTGCTCTGTGTACTGCTCCAGAGTCACCTAGAGTGGAGCACCCACGGGGCCACTCGAAGAATAAAGAGAAGTTACACACCCTGTGAAGTAACGATTGTTCTTCGAGATGTGCCCCGTGGGTGCTCCACGACCCGTCCTTCCTCCCCGCTCCAGAAATTTTTCTTCTTAATGTCTCTTTCAGATGAGTGGATGAGAGGAACTGATGGTTGCCGGCTCGCGCGCGGCTGATTAAAGGCGCGAACGCTATCTTGGTGAACCACGCATGCGCGAGCCGGTGGAGCACGGCTATGAAAAGTCTCCAAGCCGCGGCGCCGGGACGGGACCCGACACCTAGAGTGGAGCACCCACGGGGCACATCTCGAAGAACAATCGTTACTTCACAGGGTAACTTCTCTTCATTGTCTTCGGTCCACCCTCTCTGGGGAACCTGGTGCTGGCCACTGTCGGCAGACAGGATACTGGGTTAGATGGACCTTTGGTCTGACCCAGTACGGGCGTTCTTATGTTCTTATGACCCGCATCAGCTCTGGAGATAAACCAGGCACCTCTGTAACCGGACATAACCAGCAAGCCAAAACCATGAAACCAAGGGACCTGATAACAGTGGCACCGGTACCAGCACCTACGCCAGCACTGGCACCCTTGGAACCCAGCCAACAGAAGGATACCAACAAGCCCTCATCAATGGCACCAGTGGCACCAACTACTCAACTGGTGCCGACGAAGGCTCGGGCAAAGTCAAGCTATGCCCATCCCTCCCCAACCGCAGAACCAACTTTTTTTCCTGGCACGGCTATCACTATCACCAGTTTCTTGTTCACCAGCATCCAGGCAAAGTCCGCTGTACTTTCGTAATATTCGTTGTCTTTACGTCCCCAACTAAAACTGCAAGGTGGCTTTCTCCATCTCCTCCCCCAGCCTCTAGGGGCTCAATTCATTCTACATGATCGGAATGACGGCACCAGTGAAGTATCTGTCATGAACGTGTCAGTGTCTTATCCTCTAGGCATTCTTCTCTGACCAGGTTGTACCATGATAGGTACATATACTCTTTTCCTATCTCTATCTGCCACCTTGGAGGACGGAATGGAGGTACCCTCCATGTTGTTACCATCGTTGGTCCACGTGTTGCAGGTGTTCAGTTTCTTACCACTACTCAAGTACCCCTCTATGCCACCCTCCAGGCAACCTTCTCCCTCACAGTTATCATAAACTTCACCAGTACTACCTCAGTCAAAAGAGAGAGATTGTAGGGAGGAGTGCCAGAAATGAGAGAGGTAGCGGCAGTATGAGCTGGCCGTGGTGGAGTGGAGAAGGCCAGGGGCCCCAGTTGCGGTGAGTGGGGAGGGTTAGGGTTAGGGGGCCCAGGACGGCCAGACGCTTTGAGAAGCCCGTGTTGGCCTAATGTAAAGACGTGGGAGACATGGATGGGTTCCTTAGCTCCTTTGAACGGGTCTGTGAACTACACCAGATCCCCCCCCAGTGGACTGGCTCCAGCAGCTCACTCCCTTGCTGGATCAGAAGGGGTGCTCAACTAGCTGGAGAATCTGCTGCCAGGTGACTACGAATGGATCAAATAGGCCCTGCTGCACAAGTTCAGGTTGACCCCTGAGACATACAGGAAGAAATTCCGGGAGGTGCAGAAGGAGCCAAGGGAGACCTATGTGGATATGGTCTCCCACCTGGCGCAATTCGGGGTCGGGGCCCAGACTGCAGAGGACCTGGTTAAGCTGATGATCCTGGAACAGTTCTATGAAGCATGCCCGCCCATCCTGAGGTGTGGCTCAAGGACCAGAGGCCAGAGGACCCCCAGAACACCGGGAGGCTGGTGGATGAGTTCACGGACAGCTGGTCCAAGTGTTAACAGGAGTCCCGGAGAGAAAGGGAATCGTGCAGAGACTGATTCTTGGCTGAGCAATGGAGAAAATCCCCTAAGGGGCGAGCCCAAGAGACAGGGGCCAGCCATCTGTGCCCCAGAGAGATAGCAAGAGTCCGGATGGAGCCAACCTGAAGGGGCCCGCAGGAACTAACCTGCCATAGCTGTGGGCAAAGAGGCCACAAGAGGGCTCAGTGCACCAGGCACCAGGACAGGTCCCACAACCCGAGACTTTCCAGGGTCAACTGGCTGGGGCTGGAGGAAGGGCAGGGTGCCCCAGAGACAGGGACTGGCAGGCAAACCTCAGCTCAAAGTGGGGGGAAGGCCTTTCAGGCCAACTACCCTGGGAGATCTGACCTTCTGGAGGTGGATTTCTCCATGTACCAGGTGGAGGCAGGCAGCCCCTGCAGAGCAAGTGCCTCAGGCCCCTGGAGGTGGATGGCAGGGTGGTGACGGGTTTCTGGGACACGGGGAGGGGGGGTGGCAGAGGTGACGCTGGCCTGGCCCAATATAGTGGCCTCAGACCGTATGGTGCCCAACACTCAGCTGACCCTGAGGGGCATAGATGGGACCCTGTTTAAGATGCCTGTAGCCCGGGTGCATCTGAAATGGGGGGGGCTAAGGCGGGCCCCAAGGAAGTGGGAGTGCACCAGCACTTGCCCATGGAGGTGCTGATGTGGGGTGATGTAGAGGAGTGGCCAGATGGATCCAGCAGGGCTCTCGTCACCACCCGTAGCCAGAGCCAGTGAGGGGCTGGTGACCCTGACCCAGTGGAGGGCTCCCTGCAGAGGGCGCAGGGCCCCATCCCAGCAGATATGGCGCCCAG